AGGCAGTGTTTCTCAATCTGGGGGTTGGGACTCCTGGGGGGGGGGGGGGTTGTGAGGAGGTGTCAGAGGGGTCGCCAAAGACAATTAGAAAACACAATATTTTCTGTTGGTTGTGGGGGTTCCATTTGGGAAGTTTGGCCCAATTCTATCATTGGTGGAGTTCAGAATGCTCTTTGATTATAGGTGAACTATAAATCCCAGCCACTACAACTCTCAAATGTCAAGGTCTATCTTCCCCAAACTGCACCAGTATCCACATTTGGTCATAATGAGTATTCAGGCCAAGTTTGGTCCAGATGCATCAGTGCTCTCTGGATGTAGGTAAACTACAACTCCAAAACTCAAGGTCAATGCCCACCAAACCCTTCCAGAATTTGTTGTTGGACATGGGAGCTCTGTGTCCCAAGTTTGGTTCAATTCCATCATTGGTGGAGTTCATAACGTTCTTTGATATTGTAGGTGAACTATAAATCCCACCAACTACAACTCCCAAATGCCAAAATCAATCCTCCCCTCAACCCCACCAGTATTCAAATGTGGGCGTATTGAGTATTTGTGTCAAATGAATGAAAATACATCCTGCATATCAGATATTTACAAGATGATTCATAACAGGAGCAAAATTACAATTGTGAAGTAGCAGTGAAAATAATGTTGGGGGTCACCACAACATAAGGAACTGTATTAAGGGGTCATGGCATTAGGAAGGTTGGACCTAAGGGATATCTGTAGCCAAGGAGTGGTGGTTGGGGTTTGCGGATCACTTTGGTTCCCCCTGGGCAGAACGAGAAGAGCTGGGGAACTTTTCCAGGAGCTTTGCTCCAAACTCTAGCCAGGAAAGAAAGACTATTGAATCCCTTTCTCTTCCCCTGGACTTCCCAACTCAGATCTTAGCTTTTCCCTACTGAAAGTGGAAAGCTGGGCTGCCTTAAAGGTAGCCAAGGAGAGGTGGTTATGTCTTGTAGGTCACTCTAGGCAGAAGGTGAAGTTCTACAGCTGGAGAACTTTTCCAGGAGCTTTGCCCCAAAGTCTTATCCAGAGAAGGGAGACTATGGGATCCCTTTACTATCTCCTGGACTTCCCAATTCAGATCCAAGCCTTTCCCTCCCAAAATTGAACAGCTGAGCTGTCCCAAAGGGTCTTGAAAGGGATGCCATTGTCAGTAGTCAAATGGAGGTGGTTGGATTTTGCCGGGTTACTCTCATTCCTCCTGGGCAAGAGAAGAGCTTGGGAACTTTTCCAGGAGCTTTGCCCCAAACTCTTATCCAGAGAAGGGAAAAAAGGTAAAGGTAAAGGTAGTCCCCTGACATTAAGTCCAGTCATGTCTGACTCTGGGGTGTGGTGCTCATCTCCATTTCTAAGCCGAAGAGCCAGCATTGTCCGTAGACACCTCCAAGGTCATGTGGCCGGCATGACTGCATGGAGCGCTGTTACCTTCCCGCTGGAGCGGTACCTATTGATCTACTCACATTTGCATGTTTTCGAACTGCTAGGTTGGCAGAAGCTAGGGCTGACAGCGGAAGCTCACACCGCTCCCCGGAATCGAGCCTGCGACCTTTCGATCAACAAGCTCAACAGCTCAGTGCTTTAACCCACTGCGCCACCGGGGGCTCCAGAAAACTTCCTATCAGAGGCGGCCCTAGGTAATTTTCAAGGGTAAGCAAACAGTATTTTGGCCCCCCCCACCAATCACTGATATATATTTTCTGTTCGTCATGGGAGTTCTGTGTGCCATATTTGGTTCAATTCCATCATTGGTGGAGTTCAGAATGCTCTTTGATTGTAGGTGAACTATACATCCCAGTAACTACAACTCGCATATGTCAAGGTCTATTTTCCCCCAAGAGTGCCTCAAGGGTGCCAGGTCCCTCCCGTTCCACCTGGGCAGAAGGAGAGGAGCAGGGGAACTATGTCCCAAACTCTAGCCAGTGAAGGGATCTCCAAAGGGATGTTATTGTCTGTAGCCAAAAGGGGGTTTGCCAGGTCCCTCCCGTTCCACCTGGGCAGAAGGAGAGGAGCAGGGGAACTATGTCCCAAACTCTAGCCAGTGAAGGGATCTCCAAAGGGATGTTATTGTCTGTAGCCAAAAGGGGGTTTGCCAGGTCCCTCCCGTTCCACCTGGGCAGAAGGAGAGGAGCAGGGGAACTATGTCCCAAACTCTAGCCAGTGAAGGGATCTCCAAAGGGATGTTATTGTCTGTAGCCAAAAGGGGGTTTGCCAGGTCCCTCCCGTTCCAACTGGGCAGAAGGAGATGAGCTGGGGAACTCTAGTCAGTGAAGTGAAGTGATCTCCAAAGGGATATTATTGTCTGTAGCCAAAAGGAGGCGGTTGGGGTTTGCCGGGTGCCTCCCGTTCCAAATGGGCAGAAGGAGAAGAGATGGGGAACTTTGCCCTAATGAAGGGATGTCCAAAGGGATGAGATTGCCTGTAGCTTAAAGGGGGCGGTTGGGGTTTGCCAGGTCCCTCCCGTTCCAACTGGACAGAAGGAGAAGAGATGGGGAACTATGCCCCAAACTCTAGCCAATGAAGGGATCTCCAAAGAGAGGTTGTTGGGGTTTGCCAGGTCCCTTCCATTCCAACTGGGCAAATGGGGAGGAGTTGGGGAACTATGTCCCAAACTCCAGCCAATGAAGGGATCTCCAAAGAGAGGTTGTTGGGGTTTGCCAGGTCCCTTCCATTCCAACTGGGCAAATGGGGAGGAGCTGGGGAACTATGTCCCAAACTCTAGCCAATGAAGGGATCTCCAAAGAGAGGTTGTTGGGGTTTGCCAGGTCCCTTCCATTCCAACTGGGCAAATGGGGAGGAGCTGGGGAACTATGTCCCAAACTCCAGCCAATGAAGGGATCTCCAAAGAGAGGTTGTTGGGGTTTGCCAGGTCCCTTCCATTCCAACTGGGCAAATGGGGAGGAGCTGGGGAACTATGTCCCAAACTCTAGCCAATGAAGGGATCTCCAAAGAGAGGTTGTTGGGGTTTGCCAGGTCCCTTCCATTCCAACTGGGCAAATGGGGAGGAGTTGGGGAACTATGTCCCAAACTCCAGCCAATGAAGGGATCTCCAAAGAGAGGTTGTTGGGGTTTGCCAGGTCCCTTCCATTCCAACTGGGCAAATGGGGAGGAGCTGGGGAACTATGTCCCAAACTCTAGCCAATGAAGGGATCTCCAAAGAGAGGTGGTTGGGGTTTGCCGGGTGCCTCCCGTTCCACCTGGGCAGAAGGAGAGGAGCAGGGGAACTATGTCCCAAACTCTAGCCAATGAAGGGATGTCCAAAGGGAAGTTATTGCCTGTAGCCAAAAAGGGGTGGTTGGGGTTTGCCAGGTCCCTCCCATTCCAACTGGGCAGAAGGAGAAGAGATGGGGAACTTTGCCCTAATGAAGGGATCTCCAAAGGGATGATATTACGTGTAGCTTAAAGGGGGTGGTTGGGGTTTGCCAGGTCCCTCTCGTTTCAACTGGGCAGAAGGAGAAGAGCTGGGGAACTATACCTCAAACTCTAGCCAATGAAGAAATATCTAAAGGGAGGTGGCTGGGGTTTGCCGGGTCCCTCCCGTTCCAACTGGGCAGAAGGAGAGGAGCAGAGGAACTTGGCCCCAAACTCTAGCCAATGAAGAGATCTCCAAAGGGAGGTGGTTGGGGTTTGCCGGGTCCCTCCCATTCCACCTGGGCAGAAGGAGAAGAGATGGGGAACTTTGCCCCAATGAAGGGATCTCCAAGGGATGTTATTGCCTGTAGCCAAAAGGGGGCGGTTGGGGTTTGCCAGTCCCTCCCGTTCCACCTGGGCAGAAAGAGAAGAGCAGGGGAACTTGGCCCCAAACTCTAGCCAATGAAGGGATCTCTAAAGGGAGGTGGTTGGGGTTTGCCAGGTCCCTCCCGTTCCACCTGGGCAGAAGGGGAAGAGCTGGGGAACTAAGCCTCAAACTCTAGCCAATGAAGAGATCTCCAAAGAGAGGTGGTTGGGGTTTGCCAGGTCCCTCCCATTCGAACTGGGCAGAAGGGGAAGAGATGGGGAACTAAGCCTCAAACTCTAGCCATTGAAGAGATCTCCAAAGGGAGGTGATTGGGGTTTGCCAGGTCCCCCTGTTCCAACTGGGCAGAAGGAGAAGAGCTGGGGAACTATGTCCCAAACTCTAGCCAATGAAGAGATCTCCAAAGGGGGCAGTTGGTGTTTACTGGGTCCCTCCCGTTCCACCTGGGCAGAGGGAGAAGAGCTGGGGAACTTTGCCCCAATGAAGGGATCTCCAAGGGATGTTATTGCCTGTAGCCAAAAGGGGGCGGTTGGGGTTTGCCAGTCCCTCCCGTTCCACCTGGGCAGAAAGAGAAGAGCAGGGGAACTTGGCCCCAAACTCTAGCCAATGAAGGGATCTCTAAAGGGAGGTGGTTGGGGTTTGCCAGGTCCCTCCCGTTCCAACTGGGCAGAAGGGGAAGAGATGGGGAACTCTGCCCCAAACTCTAGCCAATGAAGAGATCTCCAAAGAGAGGTGGTTGGTGTTTGCCAGGTCCCTCCCGTTCCACCTGGGCAGAAGGAGAGGAGCAGGGGAACTATGTCCCAAACTCCAGCCAATGAAGGGATCTCTGAAGGGATGGCATTGTCTGTAGCCAAAAGGGGGCAGTTGGTGTTTGCCAGGTCCCTCCTGTTCCAACTGGGCAGAAGGGGAAGAGCTGGGGAACTATGGCTCAAACTCTAGCCAATGAAGGGATCTCCAAAGAGAGGTGGTTGGGGTTTGCCAGGTCCCTCCCATTCGAACTGGGCAGAAGGGGAAGAGATGGGGAACTCTGCCCCAAACTCTAGCCAATGAAGGGATCTCCAAAGAGAGGTGGTTGGGGTTTGCCGGGTCCCTCCCGTTTGGGCAGAAGGAGAGGAGCTGGGGAACTCTGCCCCAAACTCTAGCCAATGAAGGGGTGTCCAAAGGGATGATATTGCCTGTAGCCCAAAGGGGGCGGTTGGGGTTTGCCGGGTCGCTCCCGTTCGCAATCCCCACCCGCTTCCAAGCAGAGGAGACTCACATCCAAGATGACAGAGGCGCCTTTCCGCAGCTCGGGCATCTCCGCGTGGGCGGCCGAGGCGGCTCCCCGCCGGCTTCTTTGACCCCCTTCTTCCCCGTCCTCTTCCTCCTCCTCTTCTTCCTCGTCGGCGGGCAGCTCCCTCTCGGGCAGGAGGCTCTTGTCGCTCATCTTGGCCACGATCCAGCGGAGCAGCCCGTCCGGGCCCGGGGAGACCGGCAGCGCCCGCTCCTCTTTGCGCAGCAGCTTGTGGAGGCTCGCCCGGCAATAGCGCGCAGCCTGCTCACACATCTTTGACGGGCGCCTTCATCCTGGAGGAGTTTCCCCTCCGATCCTCCCTCCCTCCCTTCCTCCCTTCCCTCCTTCCCTCCTTCCCTCGCCCGCCTCGGAAAGAAAGAGAGGAAGAGGGAGGGAGAGAGGCAGGAGGAACCCCACCCGCCGCCCCGCGTGGAAAGGGAAGGAGGGGCATCTACACTGTCGGAGAGGGAATGCGGTTTGACACCACTTTAACTGATATGGCTCAGTGCTCTTGTAGTTCAAGAAGGTGTAGTATGAATGCAGTTTGACACTACTCCAGCTGCTCAGTGCTCTTGAGATCCTGGGAGTTGTAGTTCGACAAAGGGATGCTTCTAGGCTAGAGAATGAACTGCTCTGTGCTATATGATTGTAGTTCTGGGAGTTATAGTTCGACAGGGGGATGCTTCCAGAATGAACAACTGCTCAGTGTTCTTGAGATCCTGGGAGTTGTAGTTCGACCAGAAGATGCTTCTAGGCTATAGAGTGAATGCAGTTTGACACTACTCCAACTGCTCAGTGTTGTTGAGATCCTAGGAGTTGTAGTTCGACAAGGGGATACTTCTAAGCTGTAAAGTGAATGCAGTTTGACACTACTCCAACTACCCTGTGCTCTTGAGATCCTGGGAGTTGTAGTTCGACAAGGGGATGCTTCTAGGCTAGAGAATGAATGCAGTTTGACACTACTCCAACTGCTCAGTGCTCTTGAGATCCTGGGAGTTGTAGTTCGACATAGGGATGCTTCTACGCTGTAGAATGAAGGCAGTTTGACACCACTCCAACTGCCCTGTGCTATTGTAGTTCTGGGAGTTATAGTTCGACAGGGGAATGCTTCCAGAATGAATGCAGTTTGACGCCACTGCAACTGCTCAGTGTTGTTGAGATCCTGGGAGATATAGTTCGATATGGTTCGATATAGATATGGTTCCAGAATGAATGCAGTTTGACACCACTCCACCTGCTCAGTGCTCCTGGGAGTTATAGTTCGACAAGGGGATGGTTCTAGAATGAATGCAGTTTGATACCACTCCAACTGCTCTGTGCTATTGTAGTTCTGGGAGTTGTAGTTCGACAAGGGGATGCTTCTAGGCTGTAGAGTGAAGGCAGTTTGACACTCCTCCGACTGCACTGTGCTATTGAAATCCTGGGAGTTGTAGTTCGACAAGGGGATGCTTCTAGGCTGTAGAATGAATGCAGTTTGACACCACTCTACCCGCCCTGTGCTCCTGGGAGTTATAGTTTGACAAGGGGATGCTTCTAGGTTGGAGAATCAATGCAGTTTGACACTACTCCAACTGCTCAGTGCTCTTGAGATCCTGGGAGTTGTAGTTCGACAAGGGGATGCTTCTAGGCAGGAGAATGAATACAGTTCGACACCACTCCAACTGCCCTGTGCTATTGTAGTTCTGGGAGTTATAGTTCGACAGGGGAATGCTTCCAGAATGAATGCAGTTTGACGCCACTGCAACTGCTCAGTGTTGTTGAGATCCTGGGAGATATAGTTCGATATGGTTCGATATAGATATGGTTCCAGAATGAATGCAGTTTGACACCACTCCACCTGCTCAGTGCTCCTGGGAGTTATAGTTCGACAAGGGGATGGTTCTAGAATGAATGCAGTTTGACACCACTCCAACTGCTCAGTGCTCCTGGGAGTTATAGTTCGACAAGGGGATGGTTCTAGAATGAATGCAGTTTGACGCCACTCCAACTGCCCTGTGCTCCTGGGAGTTGTAGTTCGACAAGGGGGTGCTTCTAGGCTGGAGAATGAATACAGTTTGATACCACTCCATCTGCTCAGTGCTCCTGAGAGTTATAATTCGACAAGGGGATGCTTCTAGGCTGTAGAGTGAAGGCAGTTTGACACCACTCTACTCGCCCTGTGCTCCTGGGAGTTATAATTCGACAAGGGGATGCTTCTAGGCTGGAGAATGAAGGCAGTTTGACACCACTCCACCTGCTCTGTGCTCCTGGGAGTTATAGTTCGACAAGGGGATGCTTCTAGGCTGTAGAGTGAATGCAGTTTGACACCACTCTACCCGCCCTGTGCTCCTGGGAGTTATAGTTCGACAAGGGGATGCTTCTAGGCTGTAGAATGAATGCAGTTTGATACCACTCCAACTGCTCTGTGCTATTGTAGTTCTGGGAGTTATAGCTTGACAGGGGGATGCTTCCAGAATGAATGCAGTTTAACACCACTCCAACTGCTCAGTGCTATTGTAGTTCTGGGAGTTATAGTTCGACAGGGGGGTGCTTCCAGAATGACACCACTCCAACTGCCCTGTGCTACTGTAGTTCTGGGTGTTATAGTTCAACAGGGGGGTGCTTTCAGAATGAATGCAGTTTGACACCACTCCAACAGCCCTGTGCTACTGTAGTTCTGGGAATTATAGTTCGACAGGGATATTATTATTATTATTATTATTATTATTATTATTATTATTTCTCCCCCGTCTCTCCCCATGGCTATACAATCCTGAGAGTTGTAGTTTCATAAAGGGGCTGAGAAACCCCTTCATTCTCACAAATCACTAGTGTGCACATGTCAAAGTCCACTCCAAAACTGCATTTGTTTCAACTTTGCCAAGTATTGTATCAAAATCAAACCACAGAATCCACTTGATCCACCATATTTATTTGTTTTTCGAATTATAGTCCAGGCCCCCAACAGCTTAAAAAGTTTGAGGACCCTTGTCTTACACTCTCTTAGCTTCGTACACAGTGGCAGCGCTCTCTGGACCATCCTCCAAAAAATTGGGTGCCCAAGCAAATTTGTGAACATCCTGCGGCTCCTCCATGATGACATGATGGCAACAGTCTTGGACAGCAGTGGCTCCCAAAGTGACCCATTTAAGGTGGAATCAGATGTCAAACACGGATGTGTTATTGCCCCAACTCTATTCTCCATCTTCATCGCTATGATACTTCACCTTGTTGACGGGAAGCTTCCCACCGGAGTGGAAATCATCTATCGGACAGATGGCAAGCTATTCAACCTCAGCAGACTGAAAGCCAAAACCAAGGTTACAACAACATCTGTTATAGAACTCCAATATGCTGATGACAATGTCATCTGTGCGCATTCAGAAGATCTACAAGCCACGCTAAACACCTTCGCAGAAGCATACACGAAGCTTGGCCTGTCACTGAACATTGAGAAAACCAAAGTGCTGTTCCCGCAGTCACCAGCCATCCCCTCCCCAATGCCAGAGATACAGCTCAGTGGTGTAACACTAGAAAATGTTGACCATTTCCTCTACCTTGGCAGCCACTTCTCCACCAAAGTCAACATCGACACCAAAATACAACACCACCTGAGTGCTGTGAGTGCAGCACTTTCCCCGAATGAAGCAGAGAGTGTTTGAGAACCGGGACATCCGTAGGGATACCAAGGTGCTTGTCTATAAAGCTATTGTCCTCCCAACCCTGCTATACACCTGCGAGACGTGGACTGTCTACAGACATCACATGCAACTCCTGGAACGATTCCACCAGCGCTGTCTCCGGAAAATCCTGCAAATCTCTTGGGAAGACAAGCGGACAAATGTCAGTGTGCTGGAAGAAGCAAAGACCACCAGCACTGAAGCGATGGTCCTCCAACATCAACTCCGCTGGGCCGGCCACGTTGTCCGGATGCCTGACCACCGTCTCCCAAAGCAGTTGCTCTACTCTGAACTTAAGAACGGAAAACGGAACGTTGGTGGACAGGAAAAGAGACTTAAAGATGGGCTCAAAGCCAACCTTAAAATCTCTGGCATAGACACTGAGAACTGGGAAGCCCTGGCCCTTGAGCGCTCCAGCTGGAGGTCGGCTGTGACCAGCAATGCTGCAGATTTCGAGGAGGCACGAGTGGAGGGTGAAAGAGAGAAACGTGCCAGGAGGAAGGTGCGTCAAGCCAACCCCGACCGGGACCGCCTTCCACCTGGAAACCAGTGCCTTCACTGTGGGAGAAGATGCGGGTCAAGAATAGCCACCTACAAATCCACAAGAATATTGGAAGACCATCATACTCGTCCAACGAGGGATCACCTAAGTAAAAAAAAGTAGCTTCGTAGAAGAAAAAAGGGAAATAAATACGCCCTAAAGATCTGATAAGTGGCTGCTTAGTGGCTTATTCTACCCACCTGCTGGAAAACAGTATTCAAAAGCACCCTTGCACCTGGGAACAACCAAGTGAATACAGTGAAAAATCAGGACTCGTGGCAACTCTGCACAAATAACAAAGAAAGCCACTTTCTCTCTCTCTTTGGGCCCACGTTCCCCTCCCTTCGCCCGCACTCAGCCGGGAGCTTCAACTAATTAAAGGTTTCCCGCAGGCAAAGGCAAGCGGTGCCTTTGGAGCCAAATGTCACCAAGGATTTACTCATATTTGCTAATGAACAGCAGACTGGGACATGTTCACCTGTTTAGCAACCAATGGAAGGCATAGCAACCATTCGGATACATAACGCAAGACTACCAATGGCTCATCCAGGTTGGCCCGAAATGGGATTAGCCGTTCCCTGGCATCAGAAGGATTGCAATGGTGGAAGCCACATTTGTGTACTTTGCATGGCCCCTGGAACATGGCAAGGCCTGGAATTGACACTAAGTAACAACAAAGACTTGGCCAAGGTAGTCCACACTCTGGTTACATCCCGTTTAGACTACTGCAACGCTTTCTACGTGGGGTTGCCCTTGAAGACGGCCCGGAAGCTTCAATTGGTCCAACGGGTGGCAACCATGTTACTAACAGGAGTGGGACGCAGGGAGCATACAACGCCCTTGTTGTACCAGCTCCACTGGCTGCCGATTTGCTACCGAGCTCAATTCAAGGTGCTGGCGTTGGCCTATAAAGCCCTAAACGGTTCCGGCCCAAGATACCTATCTGACCGCATCTCGGCCTACGAGCCCACGAGGACTTTGAGATCGTCCGGGGAGGCCCTGCTCTCGATCCCGCCTGCCTCACAGGCACACCTGGTGGAGACGAGAGACAGGGCCTTCTCGGTGGTGGCTCCTCGGCTGTGGAACACCCTTCCCGTGGACATCAGACTGGCTCCTTCCCTGATGATATTCCGCAGGAAATTAAAAACTTGG